TTATAAGTGCATGCACCTATAAGCGGGGTAATACGGTAATTACTATTTGCATGTACAATTTATACAGTGTATGTGGTTTTATATAAAGTAGTGATATTTGTCATATTGTTTTACATTAATTGTAAATTAAAATCAACGACCAGAGCAAAACTGCGATATAAATTATTAAATATAATTATTTGTTAATTCTGTGCAAACAAGTGAGTGATTATTGCACCGATGGCTTAGAGCTCTACACTAAACCAAACTTATCGAGTTGTGTCTGGAGACGACTCTCCGACACATTATATTAATTTGATATAAGGTATAAAAATTGATTTAATTTAATAATTTAATTATTTTCATACATGCAATGAAATATTTTAATTTCAAAACTATAAACAATGATTTTAATACTATTTTATTGATAGCTATTAAATGTCGGCCAAAGATATTAAAAATATCACCGAACGGTGCGAATATTGGGATAACGGGTGCCGTCAAGTGGTTAAACAGAAATATCTTAAGGAGCACACAGACAACTGTCGCTATAAAGCGGCACAATGTTCAATATGCAATTGTGTGCACATATCGGGGCGCGACTGTATTGAATCTTTACGGGCAAAGATTGATGCACTAAAAATCATCAATAATCAATTGAAGAATGGCCATGATAATAATGCTGTTGATGCTGGCAAATCATTACAACCAAGTGAACGATTATCTGAACATCAAATTCTGGTTGAGTGTAGGCAACACCTATCGGACCCGGAATTATTGGACAACAAAATGAGCGCCAATATGACCGACAAAACACTGTCGATATTCAGGAAAATGTTGAGAAAACACAACACACTATTAGATGTGTGTAAACATGTGATGAATTATATGGAGCTAAAGTTCGGTCCCGTTTGGACTTGTTTGGCCAACTCATATAATGACGGAAATTATAGCTGGTTCTCTACTTGCGATCCTGGTTGCTATATGGTAGTTAAATTCACCCTGATCACATTCACTGTATTTCGTAACCTTATAGTAATATATTATTTTGTAATTATTATTTATTATTAATATTCATATAATTATATTATATTAACAGTTTGTATGGGAAGTATTTAAGACGCGACTAAAGCGTAATAAAATTGTCCGTAAATTGGATATTAAGGCGACAACAATGAATGCATCGATGGTATCGGTTGTGACGGACGTTGTGTTGAAGGCCTTCGATAGGGCGGATGGTTTGACGGACACGACAGGCCTTATAAAAGCCCAGATGACGACAGAATATCCTGGTATAACGTGGCAATGCTTTATCTATAACAGCCAATATTATGGCAGTTATACTATATCCAATTCTGGCTATTATATGCATTGTGCTTTGGATCAGTTACAAGTAATGATATTTAATTCGTCGGTGAAACGCTCAAAACCAACTCTATTCAGACACCGACTGTTCCGACGATCGTAACAATTATTTGCGCTAAACAAGGGTTTGATAGGAATTGTTAATTATATTACAATTATTATAAAAAGTTCATAAAAACACTAAATTATTAAAAACAGTAAATGCAAGTTTAAACATTGCATTAATTATTAAAATGTAAAATTATTCATAATGTTCTCACTATAATTACAATGAATTAGTAAAGTTTTTATTTTCCAATGCTTTTAGTATTGCTAATTAATTAACGTACAATAGTAACCAAACTCAATTATATATTTGGATATTGTGAATAGGTAGGCATATTGTATTAATCACATATTACAAATTGTATGTATCATACAATCTACGTGTTTTAAATAAAGTAGTGATATTTGTCATGTTGTTTTACATTATTGATATTCAATGTACTTACTATTAGTAAGTTGGAGTAGTAAAGCCAAGTGTCATCTCAATATTAAAATTATATTTTAATTATTAAATTAAGAATTATTAATCATTCAAATGAATGCATATATTAAACAATTCTAACATATTAGATCGACTTTTGATTGTGAGCAATTTTTTTCATTAATGAAATCAATTAAAAACGACAAAACTAATCGTACTTGCGAGAAGACATTGAGATCACGCTTGAAAATATGGTCATTGAATATGATTGATTCAAATATTAACAAAATTGTTGATAATCGTAAACAATATCAGAAATCTCATTAAAATGTGATTTAATAATTAAATTCCTTTATTTTAAATGACGTTTGTGGATTGACTGAAAGCCAACCACTATTAAAAATGGGTGAGAAACTATTAGGTTGACCTTCACGTGGTGTTTCTTGTTCAAACTGACAAACCTAATTTTTTTTTATCTACCGTTGCGCCACCTATTTATGGCACACTGTGAATCTGTATATGTGATATGCTAAAAAAGATTGAATATCAATATTTTACATTCATTGTGTATTAAAGTCATTGACGAGAGCACTACTATAATACAGTATAAATTATTAAATAAAACTTTTTAATTGTTGTGTGGAAACAAGTGTGTAATTATTGCACCGACGGATTATCCCAAATCAAACTTATAAAGTTGTGTCCGGACACCACTCGCTTAAACAACCCATTGATTTGATAACATATATGAAAAATAATTTAATTTAATAAATAAATACTTTTTATCAATAGGTACTGAAATATTTAGTTAATTTCAAAAATATACAATAATTTTAATAATATTTTATTGATAGGTATTAAATGTCGGCCAAAGATATTAACAATATTACCAAACGGTGCGAATATTGGGATAACGGGTGCCGTCAAGTGGTTAAACAGAAATATCTTAAGGAGCACACAAACAACTGTTGCTATAAACCGGCACAATGTTCAGTGTGCCATGGCATCCATATATCGGGGCGCGACTGTATTGGATCGTTGCGGGCCGATATCGGTTCACTAAAACTAGTTGACGAGGAAACTGGACATGATAATACTGGTGTAAATGCTGGTCAATCATTAGAACCATGTGAAATATTATACGAACACCAAATTCTTGTCGAGTGTCGACGACACTTGACTGCACCGGAAATGATTGACAATCAAATGAACGCCAATATGACCGACAAAACACTGTCAATATTAAGGAAAATGTTGAGAAAACATAACACATTATTCGATGTGTGTAAACATGTGGCCGATTACATGGAGCTTGAGTTTGGAAATAATTGGCATTGTATTGCCTACAGGGAAACTGATGGCGCCCACTGGATCATTCCCGAACATGGTGGTTATATGTGTGTGGTGTTTACCCCCATTAGGTTTTTAGTGTTTTACTCAAAGAGGGTAATTGATTCTTTAAATACGTAATTCATTTATTAACATTTATATATTTATTTGCATTCATAGTTTGATTGGACGACACATCATATACTAGCCGAGTGTAGGCGATACCTGTCGGCACCGGTGGTGTTGGAAAACCAATTGAGCGCCGATATGACCGACAAAACACTGTCGATATTGAGAAAAATGTTGAGAAAACATAACACACTATTCAATGTGTGTAAACATGTGGTCTATTATATGGACCTCGAGTACGGCAGTAGTTGGCACTGTTTGGTCGGTTATGACGAATACAATGGATGTTTAATGTTAGAGAAAAATTGTTTGTTAAAAGTAAAATTCACCTCGGTCACGTTTACGTTGGGTTATACAAAGCGGGTAAAGTAGTAATTTGTTTAGATATATTTAGAGTACAATTTATAATATTAATAATTATGAATAAATGTAGATTTATTTTAATGTATTTTTTATAACAGTTTTATTGGGCAAATTTTAAGGCCCGACTCGAGCATAACAAAATTGACCGCAAATTAGACATATATTATACGGCTATGAATGAGTCAATGATATCGGTTGTGACAGACATTGTGTTTGAAGCCATCGACAGTAACGACAATATAAGCGCTACAATGGATAACATTGTAACCCAAATGAAGGCCAGATATCCGGTCAGAGTGTGGAAGTGCTTTGTCTACTGTACAAATTTTGGTGATCGATATATACAATACGTTAACAACAATTTTATCCATTGTAGCGTCGATCAAATAACCTTCATTATATTTGAATAAAATATATTGTATTAACTGTAAACATTGTTTAGATTAATTTTGATAACCACTTCTCCCCCTCCCCCTCCACATTCTATGAACAACTATCTGATAATAATGAGTATTATCAGGACGACGCAAACGTAGGCTTTGCCTACATGCACCCATAGACTTTACATTAGCCCATTACCATAGAGTGGCCCTACACTGGCCCCTCTGCGTCTCGATGAGTATTATAAGCAAATTGATTAATAAAATAGCATATTCTCCATCGTCTCATTTATTTGATTATTACAAATATTTTTCAAAACACAATTTTAATCCTATAAATAAATTGTGCGTATGTTTAATTAATTATTAATTCGGAACTATTAAATACATATCTAAATTACTTTTGTATTGTTATATTAATAATGGTAAATTTAAAATCTGACAAATAAATAAAATATTTAATTATTTGCGTGGATACAATTATTTATATGATTATTAAACCGCCAGGTGATATTGCTATCAATCTTGAATTTAGCAGTTAGTTTTCAGACACCTTTTACCCAATAATAAAATATGTACATGTATATTTGTATCTCTATGATACGAAATGTATTAATTAATCAAAAATGTTAAATATTTAATTTTAAGCATTAAACGACAGTAATTTTATATTAATTTACTGTAAAAGTTTTAAGTTATATATGACTAGGTCAAATTTAAATTCAAATATATGCATTGTGTAGTGAAGTTATCGACGAGAGCACAACTAAAATATAAATTATTAAATAAAACTCTTTGCCAGTTGTGTGGATACAATAATTGTACAATTAATGTATAATTATTGCAACAATAGGTTAGAACTCCACTCAAAACCAATCAAGTTGTATCCGGACACCATTGATTTAATAAGAAATATGAAAATTGATTTAATAATTAAATTATTTTATCGATAAGTAATGAAATATTCAATTAATTTTAAAAAAATATATAAAAAGAAATATATAATAATTTTAGTACTACTTTATTTATAAGTATTAAATGTCGTCCAAAGATATTAACAATATTACCAAACGGTGCGAATATTAGTTAACAAAATTAAACATGACGCTTTATGGGGGTAAATTTAAAATGGTTTTATTTGTAATTTAATTAACTTTAATAAATTCTCTACTCTCCATAACAATAATCAACAATCCCTTATTCTTCCATAAATTTTTCAATTTTTTATTTCAAATATTAACTCGATTTTTAGGCAAAA